TGAATATTGATATTCAATAGATATTTTATTATGGATAGTTTACAAATTGACTTGCAAATTTGGATATTAAAGGCGACATTTTGGATAAATATAAAGGGTTTTATACCTCTGCTGTTACTGCAGAGGTTCAAATTTTCTGGCAGAAAGAAATAAGTGTGGGTTGCACGAAGTTTTTAAAAAAAATAAAATTAAAATAACATGGCACAAATTTTGGTGAGCTTATGGCTGCAAAAAAAACTCCTCTGCTGAAGAAGAGTAAAATGTAAATATAAAAAAAGTATTATGATTAATAACATTAATTTAGATATATTTAACATGAAAGGCAAAAAAAAATCTGCATCAGTAATCAATCACGACTCACTGTATAGAATTAATTAAATAACACTAGAAGCACATAATTGGAACCAAATTGTGAATTCAGAGAAGTGGATGAAGCCCCACAAATTCTGAGAGTAATTAAGAACATGCATTCTTATTATTAATTTAAATGAATCCAAGTTTGCATGTAACTCGAGGGCTATTTCACCACTTTGGAGTTTTTCCCATTTAAATATACCAATTTGGTATTCAGTTGTGAGATATTATCATTTGGGGTCTTTGAGTGCCGCATGGGGGACATAGCGACTCTAAGTGACGCACCCATCACCCCGCGGCACTAATGTGAATTTGAAAAAAAATTTTGTCCAAAACCAGTGCCCACGGCACCAATTATATTTTTTATTTCCCGGTGCCGCCCCCTACCTCCCGCGGGACTAATCCATGCCCCCAAACAATTATGCCGCCCTACCCCTCATACGGCACTAACCTATTTTTATTTTATTTTAAAAAAAAAACCCCAATTTTTTTTAAATCCAATTAGTGAATGTTGTACGTTTTGATTCACTCTGCATTGAGTCATTTTAATAAAAAAAAATATAGTGGAAAGAATGCAAGATAAGTGAGTGAAAGCATCAGGAAGAAGATTAAGATGAAGGTAGAAGTCCTAACTTATGACAGGTCCCTAAACTATAATTGTTTGAAAGTTTCTATTCTCAGACCCACCAAACCAAATGAGATCTCTTCACCAGACTTCACCCAAGGCTTGCCCACATGGAAAAACCTTAAAGCAAATTGGACACTCATGCACTTTGCTCTTCTTGGACTCTTTAACTATCTCTTCCTTATTAGCTTGCTTTCAGTTGTTGCTGGTGTTGCATCAGGAGAGAGGTCAATTTCAATGCTGTTTTCACTGCTTTTATTTTTTTGAAGCAAAATAGCCATAAATCTTCTTGTGACTAGCTCTATGACCTCCAAGAGCTCGGTAGCCATAAATCTTCCCTTTTATTCATCTTAAATGTGTTTTTAGAAAAACTCCTAGAGATAGAAAATGAGCAGAAAACACCGACACAGAAAGAGAAACAAACAAGACCAAAAAAACAAAGGAAGCCAAGGAATCGGATAAATGACATGGATGTCACGTTCCCTAATCCCTTAACTCATTTTATTGAGCAACACAAGCACACAACATGTAAAATCTGAACCTTCCCCCCTTGTAGTTAGGATTTGCAGAAACAGAATTGCCAAACTCCCACTTCTAGCGCCGTGGTTTTGTTTTAAAAAAAATAATTGGTGCCGTGGGGGGTAGGGGGCGGCACTGTTGTCGTGTATAAAAATATAACTGGTGCCGTGGGAGGTAGGGGGCGGCACTGGTTTCGGACAAAAAAAAATCTAATTCACGTGAGTGCCGCGGGGTGATGGGCGTGTCACTTAGAGTTGCTGGATCTCCCATGCGGCACTCAAAGACCCCAAATGATAATATATCCCAAATGAATACCAAATTAATATATTTAAATGGGGAAAACTCCAAAGTGGTAAAAGAGCTGTAACTCGAGTCATGGTACATTGGTAACCAAGCACGTACAAAAGTGGTACAGTTCCTAGGACTGTGAAAAAGCATGAGGAGCTTTAGTGGAAAACTTTAGCAACATATGATGCTTGAAGGCAGTATTATTAAACTCGACTCAGGCATTGATCCGGTCAGGGTATTGGTCGGATCGGTGGGTCGCTGGTCGGACTTGTTGACCCGGATATATATAAAAATATAAATAAATATGAACATATAAATTCACTATATTCTCCATATCTAAAATGAATTAAACAAGGTCAACTAAATAAGCTCAAAAACGTGTGTGAGATTGAATGAGGGGCTAGCCTACAGGGTCGTACCCCGAGGGCAAGGTGACTGGAGGAGGTTGAATGAGGATACCTCCAGGTTACCAAAAAAAAAAAGAGCTAAAAAATGCGAAGCATAAATAAATAAGAATGCACGCTATTACTATGTTAATTTAAATTGCAACTCAGAATCTCCTTAAACATACTTCTCAATAAACATTAAACTCTTATTTTTCAAATTCAACTCTTATTTTTCAAATTCAACTATATTAAAATGACATATGTCACATTCTCTTAATTTATATTATTCAGCAAATTGCTTCAGTATTGGAAGCTGAAATTTGAGGTCATTGTAGAAGAGTATACTAGCAAAAAAAAAATTACAAAATATTTTTAAAATGAGTTCTACATTTTTTCTGGCAAGATGAAACAATTTTGGTTTTTTGATTTTTTTTAAATGCATAACTCGATCGGGTCACTGGTTTTGACCGGATTTGACCAGGTCAATGCATGACCGGTCCAATGCTTGACCCGAACTGATCTAATAACCAATTTATAGGATCTCGGATCAACCCGACCGGATCAGGTCGGATTTTACAACACTTCTTGTAGGACTTCTCTGGGGTCAAAATAGTTGAAGGGAAGTGGTTGATAAACAAATCCATCTTTTCATTCTCAACAAAATTAGCAGTATAAAATTGCATACAATATGCTGTATTGAAGGGAAGATGAAGAGACGGAGAGTAGAAGGGACAGGGATAACCTAGTTTTTGATGAAGCAAATTTTAACATATCTGTGTCTTCGGTTCTGTCTAGTCGTCATCATTCCACGTCCCTACGTAGTCTTGATTTCATCGCAGGGATATATAGATTCTCTGAGCCCAAATTGTTGAATAGGGTCATGAGTTATGTTGTATTGCACAATGTCCAGCAGTTGACCATTAATCTGCATTTGGATACAGTTGAGCTTACCCCGATATTCTTTTCATGTCGGTCTTTTACATTTCTTAAGGTTTCCTCTACTATAGAAGTTCCGAAATATCTACAATTGCCGGCATTAAAAAGCTTGGATCTTAACTATGTCATTTTTACTGCAAGTGACAATGACTGTGCTGACCCCTTTTCAACCTGTAACGTGTTGAATACATTGGTCATTCGTGAATTTTATTTGCATCATGATGTTAAAGTCCTTCGCATATCTAATTCTAACCTTTCTAGTTTGACCATATGCCAGAATCCCTTTGCACAACCACCACATTTCAAAATTGCGATTTCTACTCCAAATGTCAATATTCTTACTATCATTGGTACTCCTATTCTCCAACTATCCTTCGCATGCAATCTTTTCTCGATGAAGTATATATTCACATCCATTTAGGGCTTGGGAAGGATTTCAGTATGGACGAAGGTTTAGATTTTATTACATATTTAGTCATTCTAAACTGGCTGCAAGTGCTGGCATATGTAAAGATGATGACACTTACTTCTCACACACTTTCTATATTATTAAATGTAAGTTTTACTTTAACTTGATTTCTTCTCTCTGTTTTCATATTGCTGATAAGATGTCAGCATTTTTACGTCAATATTCAATCTCTTACATTTCAGAATATCTATTAATATGTATCTCTAATTCACTCTAATTGTGTAGGATCTCTCAAAATCCGGTTCAACGGGAACACAACCTCCTTGCTTTGTTAGATTGGAGGCATTGAAAGTGCTAAAGCAATCATCTGTAAAACTACCTGATGAGGAAGTAAATGGGATAGTGGAGTACCTACTTCAGAACTCTCCATTGGCCAGAGTTGATTTCATTCAACCTGTCTATTTAAGGGATGCACAACGATGCTGAACCTCTTGCTGAGTTTTTAAATGTAATGTCAAACATGTGTATCAACTTAGGTTGGTGATATTTTGTATAAACTGGGCATTAAGAGTATTTACTTTTAAGTTGAACTTGGATATAACAATGGGCAAAAAAATTTATTTATTGCAATTTAATAAAATAATTACACATATATGACAGTTTTTGAAATTTTTACGGATCTAATGCACAATGTTACGCCACATTTGGGCGTCACATGTGACGCCCCAATAGGGAGTCTCTCCCCTAGGGTAAGACACCCAATTGGGGCGTCACATGTGACGCCCAATGTGGCGTCACATTGTGCAGCCTATTTAATCCCCCCACCCCTTCATTCATTCTTCACACCTCTCTCTTCTCTCTCTTCACACCTCTTCTTCTCTCACTCTTCATATATATTCCCTTTGTATTTGAATTTTATTTCTACTATTTAAGAATGAGCTTACGTCCTGATTATGTTCGTGTTGTGTTATATTACAATGGTAGGAAGGTAGAAGGTCGACGAAGTGTCATCTTTGAAGGTGAAAAAAGGCCAACACGTATCGAACGCAATGCAACCATTGGCGAACTGCATCAGAAAATTCGGCAGAAGCTAAGTCTTCAAGGCAACCAATGTATCACTCAGATCACGATAAGATTATGGCAATGTGATAAATACATTAGTTTGCAAGTGGTTGACGATGAAGACCTGGAGATGACAATGGAAGAATTTTTCAACCAGTCAAGGACAGATTTTTTGGAGTTGTATGTCGACGTTGCCGCAACCGAGAATGTTCCCTTACCGGTGAGGTCAGTTGATTTAAATTATGCCCGTCTTCCATCTTTGTCTGCCGCTCATGCGTCTCCAGTTGGTAACTATTCTGAGGGAGATGAAAATGATCCGACTTGGGAAATGCACGACGACGATGATGATGAAAATATCGCAATGGAAGAACGTCTTCTGGCTGAGGATGCTAGTGCTTCCGAAGGAGATGAAGGTGCCGAAATGGGAGCGTCTGAAATCCCAATATTCCATCAACCAGTGGTCGCGCAAATGATGCAGTTGCATGACATTGCGTCTGCCCCATTAGGGATTTATCATGAAGGTAATTGAAATAATGTGTATATAGTTGAGTATATACCTGATTTAATACCTAAATTAGGAAGTTTGTATTAATAAGTTACAATCCGCAGTTGCAGGTGACGAAGCTGTTATTCCTTTTTGGCAAGGAATTCTGCATTATTCCTACATTGATTGGAGTTATCAGAGCGAACAAGAATCTTGCACTGATGGCACGGTCTCAAAATCGGGTTCAATACAAGGTCTGTGGCAACTGGGTGACAATTTATTTGTCAATCAAGAATTTGCAACAAAAAAAGATGTCCAAATGGCACTTAAGCACCTCCTCATTAGGGAACATCAAAAAGCAATTGTAATTGAGAGCACGCCTGCAAAGTTATCCATGAAATGTTGTGCGTATGATAAGGGTTGCCCGTGGCGCGTTAGGGCCATGAAACCAGTGTTTGGTGAAAATTGGAAGATTACGAGATGGGGTGGAAAACACAATTGTTTGAATGAGCACATTTCGCAAGGACATAGACAACTTGATGCGGACGTTATTGCAGATCTCGTCATAGGTACGTATTTATTTACCGTAATGACATGTCAACGTTTATGTACTGCTGTGTAATTAAATTTGTGAGTTATTATCGAGTCTGGGTCCTCTTCAATGCAGGAATGATAAAGGAAGAACCATCTGTGTCAATCTCTTTGGTGCAAGAAAGGATAACCGCTAAATATGGCTTTAAAGTTTCCTACAGAAAGGCGTGGTATGCGAAGCAGAAAGCGATCCCAATTATGTACGGTGATTGGGAGGAATCGTATGCTTTTTTGCCAAGGTGGTGCGAATACATGCTGCGCTTTTCTCCAGGTTCATTTTATAATATTCAAACAAATGATCTTTATGCAGAGCAGAGCTTAGTTACTGGAAAGAAGTTGTTTCATCGCATATTTTGGACGTTTAGATAGTGTTGTGAGGCGTTCAAATTTGCCAAACCCGTCATTCAAATTGATGGAACACATTTATATGGGAAGTACAAAAGCAAATTGTTGGTGGCCACAGCCCAAGATGGTAATGATGAATGTTTACCGATTTCTTTTGCCATCGTTGAAGGCGAGACCTTGGATGCATGGAACTATTTTCTTGTTAATATTCGTGCTCATGTTACTGACATATCAAATATATGTTTGATCTCCGATCGGCATCGTAGCATAATATCTGTTGTGGAGAATAACCCTAATTGGCAGCCACCAAATGCATATCACGTCTTTTGTATTCGTCATATTGCAAGCAACTTCAATCAAAAGTTTTGGAATGAAGGTTTAAATCGGATGTTAAAGAATTTAGGTATACTCATTGACACGATGCATATTTATGTCATTCCATTATGTTTATCAATTTATGTTTAATTCGTGGATGTCCATTATGTACAGGTTATACTCCGGCCATCGTTGATTTTGAAAGGAATCTTGCGAGCTTTCGTGAAAGTAGTCCTCAAATTGCTGAGTGGATTGATGTCATTCCTAAGGAAAAGTGGTCGCGAGCCTACGATATTGAAGGACGGAGGTACGGTCATATGACAACAAATTTGGCTGAATCTGTCAATAGGGTTTTGAAGGGGGACATAAATATGTCTATAACTGCATTGGTTAAGCATACATATAGCAGATTGGTTGCATATTTTGTTGAGAGAGGAACAAATGCCGTTGCACAACTTCAATCAGCTCATCGTCACTCCAAAAATGTTGTTGAATTGGTCAAGAAGAACCAAGTAGATGCAACAGGCCACCACGTTCGTGCATACAATGTTGAACATACTGTCTTCTAGGTTGACGCAGGTTGGGAACGTTCATATTCTGTCAGTGTGGAAAGTTTAAGGCCTTTAAGTATCCGTGTAGTCACGCCATAGCTGCTGCATTAAGTGTTTGGCAAAGTGCGTTCACGTACGTTGACGATGTCTTCTTGACAACAAACTTGGTCGATGCTTATTCTTTTCCGTGGGACACAATCGGAAATGAGGAAGCAATACCTGAAATTAGTGGTCCAAAGATTATTCCTGATGCCACTATGTTGCGTGCAAAAGGTCGTCCAAAGTCAACTCGCATCCGCAACGAGATGGACGAAGTTGAGACAAGTCAAAGCCGTATCAGGTGTGGACTTTGCAAGGAACGCGGCCATAATCGTCGGGGATGTCCAAGTCGTGGGAGAAACGACTGAGATACTTAGTAATGTCATTATTTTGCTGTTGGTTATCTTATTGCTTGAATTGTAATGTCCGTTATGTTGGACTTTTTCCTTTCCTTTTATGTATGTTTTTATTCTTGTATTATTAATTAACCGTCCTGATTAGTTACCGTAACATAAATGCAATAAGGACGACCAACCAAGCATAAATAATAAAGCATAGTGAATAGTCCAAATAATATAATAATGTACAATCCACAAAAAAACAATGATCCGACTAAAGTCATAACTAATACAAAATAACAATATAATAACAATCTGATACAGTCCACAAAATAGTGAATATTAAAAATGGCAATGAAACTACGACCACGGTGGCCATGGCCTATGTCGTGCATCCCTATCTGGTAGTATACTTCTGTCCCAGACTGGGTCTCCCTGATGTACCTGTGCCTGTGGTGGTGGAGTGTGGAAGTCATCCATCGCCGTACGCATGAAATAATCTGCTTGGCCGTGCCCACTAATATATGAAGACTGACCTGTATAATGTGAATAACCTGCTCCTGCACTACTGCCATGCACTTCAATCGGGTGTGTCCCTGACTGTGAGAATATGTGGCTAGCGTCTCCCCACTGTCATGGCTCTCTGTGACAAGGCCTACTGAGCGATACAACTCCATCGTTTCCTCTCCAGACCAATGGGGGAAATCGACATCAAGTCCCTGTGAATACTGCTGGAACTCAGGCTGCGAGGATGCTGGATCCGCCCCTGCCATAGCCATCGGACTAGCCTGGAAAACTGGCTCCTGTGAGTCCATGTATGGGTGCTCAGACGCCGCCTGACTAGGACCTGCCGCATACTACGATCCGTGGTGATAAATCGGCTGTTACCCGTAAGTAGTCCCAATGACTGGAGGTCTGAACCATCCCTGAGTCTCGACCACTGGTCTCGGTTCCATAATCGGGACAGGCTCAGCAGCAACTCGCTCACGTGTACGTCCTAATCCGCGTCCCTCAACTCGCTTACGAGGAACATCCAAGAACAACTGTGGATCTGGCTGTGTCTGGACTGCTAGTGCCTCAGCTCCAGGCTCATCAACTCGTGAATTCTCACGAAAGATACCAATAAGCTTGCCAATCTCCTCATGAATAAACTCAATGCCGACTCGAGAAAATTCATCCGCAGATGATGCATGATACAACATCTCTAGACCGTCAATCTGTATAACAAAATGTGTTAGCAATGTCATAATTTATGTTTAAATATGAATGTGTACACAGATTTTAGAAACTCACAATTCGTCCCAACTCTGTTGCCCTCCGAGAGATGTATCTCTTTCCCCTCCCTCTGTACCACTCCATGTACTCATGATTAGGTGACATCAACCCTAGTAATGGAGGGGGCACAAGAATATGATTCACCCTGGCCTGCCATCTCGCTATATGTCCACTAAGCTTACGCCTCCAATTCTCTTCAACCTTTCCCCGTAGAGTATGATCATGTATCCCTCTCAACTTTCTGCTCACATCCGGGATGGGTTGATCAAGTCTAAACTGCCGCATGCACCTATCCGGCTGACATGCCTCGACAGTGTGGAAGTAAAAAAAGGGACTGATAGCAAGCCATAGATACTTCTGGTGTTCTGTCACGTCCAGCCACTCATAATCGATATATGGTAGCCACACCACTTACACACAAAATGAAATTTGAATATAAGGAGTTGGAAATTAATATACATGCATGATAAAATAACAACAAACTAAATATGGACCACCTTACCTCATCTCTACAAAGTGTATCCAAGGTAGCCAGATAATGAGTGACCTCATGAGGTTTAAACTTTGCTACTGTATTAAACCTGTCATCAGAAACATACATCAGCAATCATAATCAAGAAGTATACAGATAGTATATTTGATAAATCATTATCGAAATTATATTTGTTTAACTAAGCATACCGACATCCATAATGCGTGCCCAGCTCTGGATGAGGAGGAAGCGGCGAAGCAATGGGTGGGAATCGTATCCATGCCCAGATTTGAAGGAGAATATGGCAACCACCCATGTCAGATCGATCGGCATCTGTCAATTCACACAAATTCCTGAAAAGGTGTGACAGAACCGCAGATCCCCAGCTGTATCGGTCAATATCATCAAATCCTCCCCGAGCAACGGGACTAGCCGACAACCAAAATTGCTGCCTCCAGACTTGTCCGCCAGCAACCAAGAACCAAGCATCCTGGCAATGTGCGCCTTTGTGAAGTAAATCTCGGCAGCATGATCCCCTTCATGATCAGTCCACCTGGTATATAACTGATCTAAGTATGAGATACGCACGTCGCCTGAATGATGGAACTCATTTGGCTGTGGAACCGCGCCAAATACAGCCCCACAAACAGCGGGCCAATCCTCAGAGGTGGATCCGGTGACGACATCCCCGTCAGTAGGCAACCCCAATATGCCTGCCATATCTTGCAAGGTGATAGTCATCTCACCTTGGGTCATATGAAAAGTATGTGTCTCTGGTCTCCACCTCTCGACCAGAGCACTAATTAAAGGGGCATCGATCTGTGATAAAATATATAATCAGAGCGTGTTAACGAATAATAACATAAATAAAAAACAACGTAAATTGTATACCTGAATATGTCGCATCCGGGCAACATGTATGAATCCGGCCTGTGTCAGGTAGTCTGCGGCAACCTCTGGGATAGCGCCTATAGGTGGCCCCCCAGATGGCTTCCCACGTCTAGTCTTTATTTTCCTTACATGCTCTGTATTCCACACTCGCTGTGAAATATGAGCTTTCTGCGTCCTCTTACGAAGGACCTCCCATCTGTACGGCCCCGGTATGATGTACATGCTGGGATCGGTAGCTCTACATCCGATGCAGAACCCGATGAAGATGATGACTTAGCCATTACCCTCAACTATATAATATAAAACAACATTTACATTAATCACATGTAATGCCCCATTTTATTTACAAATTAATTAAGCAATGACATAATTTATTATCAAAAATTTTAAGCATATGCGTCATTTTCATTGCTACAATCAAAATTAATGAAATAATGTTAATACGTAGTACAGTAATTTATTTGTAATTAAATAATAAAAATACATTGGACAAAAGTAATATAATACTTACACAATACTTAACCCTAGGTCACTAATAACTTCATAAATATGTACTAATCATCACACCTAAATGACTACAAAATTATGAATAAACTCTCGCATTAATAACATCATACATACAAAATTTACGAAGTTTCTATCACTATTTACTAAGTC